TCCCCTTGAGGAGGGTGTTTGTGCTTTAAAGCTGACGCTCCCGTCCCCCTCCCCGCAGGGAAGGCTGAGGGCGCTGCCGGCGCTGGAGTCCTTGTTGGGGTCCCCGCCCCGGAGCCTCTCTCAGCGGTGAGTCCGCGACCCGGGAGGCTGCGCGGTGCGGGCGGCACGTGCCTTGGGAGGAAACGGAGGCCCCGGCCCGTGGTCTCTCCGCCTGTGGCTGTGGCCACCGCCTGCCGCGCGGTTTTCCCGCTGAAAACCGTTCCCGGGGCCGCCGGTCCTCCCCGCGGGGCTGAGAGTCTGGGTCAGGGGGTTCCCGCCCTTTGCGCCCCTCCCCCCGCCCGGCGCTTTCCGCCTAAAGAGCCCGGATGGCTCCCGGCCTGGGGGTCTGCACCCCCCTCCTAGGCCCACCCCCATTTAATAAGGGGTCTGCCTGCCCGGGGAGCACAGTGTCCATGGGGGGGGGCTCAGGGGGAAGGACGCGGTGTCCCCTGAAGAGGTGACCTGCCCGCAGGGAGGGGCTTTGTGGGCGCGGTGACTGCGGGGGGCGGGGGCCCAGGCTGGGGGGTCAGGAGAGGGAGTGAGAGACAGACACGGGGGCGGGAGAAAGGGCAGCGAGGGGTCCACAGAGAGGCGCCCATAGGGGGTGTGGGGCGGACTGGACGGCGACGGTAGGAGTGAGGGGGTCACTCGGGAAAGTGGCCTGAGGAGGAAGGAAGTGGAGACACAGGTAGGAGGGGGAGCCCAGAGAGAAGAAGGGGGGCTGAGAGGGAGCGGGTCCTGGGGAGAAGTGGGGACTCACAGGAGGAGGCACTTGAGACGGAGACACTGGTTCCGAGGAGGAGAGGTGGGGAGCGAGTGCAGGGACAGAAAAGGGGGCTCAGGTATGAGGGAGCAGAAGGAGCAGCCCTGAGTCAGCAGCTGTGGGAGCGGGACAGACGGGAACAGGCAGCAGAGGGGCCACGGGCGGGGGGAGGGGAAGACGAAGACGTGTGTGGAGATGGAGCCTCAGAGACCGGGAGAAAGAGCCCCTGAAGGGAAACAGGTTTCAGGAGTTTCATGGTCCAGGTGTAGGACAGACAGAGAGAATAGGGGAGAAAGAGCAGGGGAGAGGGGGACACAGGAAAGGACCACAGTGGAGAGAAAGGGAGCAGGAGACAGAGACAGAGCCACAGACAGAAATACATGTAGTGGGAGGAGGGAACCCTGATCTCGGTGAGGGATGAGCTGATGGGGTGCTGGATAGTTAAGTTGGGATCTATAGGCTTGTGGCTTTATGTGTGTGAGTGTATATGTGTATTTAGAGATAATATTACTATTGATCTTCGAGAGGCAAAGAGAGGGAGAGAGAGGCAATTATTGATCAGCTGCCTACTCCTGGCCCCTCACTGGGCATCAAACCTGCAACCTGGCCATAGGCCCTGACTAGGAATCTAACCACAGCCTCCTTGTTCAAAGGTCCCAGCTCAGTCACTGAGTTATGCCTCTTAGATGTGGCTTTATATATTTCATTTAACAGCCGAATTGTCTTAGTTATACAGATTTGAATGACAATTATAAATGTCCAGTGTATAAGGCTTGTGAATTTTGTAATTATTTGCTTCCAATTGCAAACTTGATTCACTCAGAGGGGAGATACATGTCTGTTGGTCATGGGTCCCATGTCATTTCTTGGGAAATATGGCAAGGAGTAAGTCACCTGTGTCTGTCATCATCTGATGCTTTTTAAAAGGAATATTCGAAGCCTTAGTTTTGTTGCTGTGGTTGGTGGTGTGTGTGTGTTTGTGTGTGTGTGTAACTTTCCTGGATTTACTTTTTCTATGTCTGATACTTTATTATTTAAAAACATCCTGAGATAAATCCTCTGGGTCTTCTCAGATTCCCTGGAGTTTAAAGAAATGCCCTCAGGTGTGCTTTCCCCCATAGAGTTGGACAGCTCCTCTAGGTGGGGCATCATTGGTTATTGAGGTGCTCTAGGTGATTGAAAAGTGAGGACAGGGATTAGCTGGAGGGTTTCAGGATTCCTTTGTGAGAGTGGGGAGCAAGCTTTGTTCAGGGGAGGTAAGGGGGTGCTCTTTGGTTTAGGAGGTCCGGATAAGCAGCCCACCTTCTCATTTCTGTAGGAGTTTGTGAAAGTCTTTGGGAGGAGAGGCGCATGAACACATACACTCGAAAATTCATAGTGTGGTCTCCATGGAGGAGCTCATTGTTCCTGTCTCTCTCCTGTGACCAAGGACAGGAGGGGTGTCCTTTTCCTCATTTCCAGGTCCTTCTGACTATGAATGTGAGGTGAGCTGATTAAAAGGCTGTGACTCCTCAACATAGAGTCACCTGAGGAAACATCCCAGACCCCGATCAGGACCGGGACCCAATGGCTGCCTCTCAGGTATCAGATATGTCCTGAACAGAACCTGTGTTTGCTTTTCCTCTAATATCTGTGGATTTATTTCTCTCTTTCTTGTGTTCTTGCCTTTGCAGGTTGTTTTTGTTTCTTATTTGATTACTTTATTGATCACAGTCAATGTCAGCAGTTTCTATATTTCTCTCTTTTGTGTGTTTTTCTTTTTTTCTGACTCTCTTTTAAAAAGAATATTTTTATTGATTTCAGAATGGAAAGGAGAGGGAGCGAGAGATAGAAATATCAATTAGGTTAGAGAATTATGGATCAGCTGCCTTCTGCACCCCACCCTGAACTGGGTATGGAGTCTGAAACCTGGAGTGAGCCCTGACTGGGAACCTAAGCCTGCCCTCCTGGTTCATAGGTCAGCCCTTTACAGCTCAGCCACACTGGCTGGGCTATACTCCCCTCCTTTGTGCCAGAGCCGTGTCTGCATTCATTTTGTCACCCTCACAGGTGAGGAAGCATTACTATCTTTAATTAGTGACTTTCAACTAATCAAAACATTTCTTTTGTGACAGATCAAACTTGGAAGGCAGCCATGTCTAACATCCCTACTGAAATGGGGTCAGAGGCTCAGGCATCAGTGAAGAAGGAAAATGCAGGTTTTAGGTTCACGTGGCTACAGCATGAGCTCTAGATCAGAGGTAATAAGATGCACATTTTACTGCTCAGAATAGCTCAGAAAGCTCTGAAAAGAAGGGCAAATAGAAGAAACTTGCTCATTAGATTACTACGAAAGACTTGGGAAGTAAATGTACTATTTGCTTACATAACATGAAAGGTACACGTGAATTGACACATGCAAAAATTGCACACTCCCTTTGGGTATGTGCCTGCAACCAAGGTACATGCCCTTGACCGGAATCAAACCTGGGACCCTTCAGTCCCCAGGCCGACGCTCTATTCACTGAGCCAAACCAGTTAGGGCAGCATCTGTATTTTCACAGAAGTTCATTTCGTTGTGGCCTGCTTCACACTTGAGACCAGCATGACCTTTCCCGTTGAGAAATATACATCACTGACCCTGAACGATGTAAATGCAGCCTTCAGAAATCCATATGCTGCTGTGCATTCCTGAATTTTAAAGGTTATTTAACTGTAAAATAAAATCTGTACTGTGGACATGTGTCATCTTGTGTGTCAGTGTCAGAAAACACATCAGAGAATGTTACTCCGGCAAAGTGATCTTACTGGATAATTCAGGATACCCCATAGGTCAAAACCTCTTCTAACACTGTTTTCATGTTGGGTGACATTATTAACTCTTCTGGTGACCTCTTGGTAAATGTGTGTTTTCTTTCAGGGACCATTGACCTTCAGGGATGTGGCCATAGATTTCTCTCAGGAGGAGTGGGAATGCCTGGACCCAGCTCAGCGGAAGTTGTACATGGATGTGATGTTGGAAAACTACAGCAACCTGGCCTCCCTGGGTGAGGATGACTTCCTTCCCGATTTCCTACCCCATCCCCAGGATTTTGTTTCCTTCATTATTTTATCATCTCTCAGGCGCTTCTGCTTTTTCTGGTAGATTCTTGCTCTCGAAGAACAAATTGGGCCTTAGCTGGTTGCGCTCAGTGGATCAAGTGCCAGCCTGCAGATTTAAAGGTCCCAGGTTTGATTCCCGTCAAGGGCCAATGCCTGGGTTGCTGGCTCCCTCCGCAGTATGGTGTGTGCAGGAGGCAACCAATCAATGATTTTCTCTCATCAATGATGTTTCTATCTCTCCCTCTCCCTTCATCTCTGAAAGCAATAAAAATATACATTTTTAAAAAGAGAAACAAATTGAGGGTAGAAAAGAAAGGCTTTGTGAGGTATGTGAATTTGGAGTTCAGTGTTTGCATACGTTACATGGTGTATACACTAATTACGATACTATTATAAGATAAAATTTTAGAAAATCATTTTCTAGAATATTCTAATATTCTACCATGTGTTCTGGCCAGAGGACAACCTGGATTGGAAACGGGAAAGCCTCTCTCAAAATACTGCATTTTCTTTAATTTTTATATTTTTAAAGACTTTATTGAATTCAGGGAGGAAGGGAGAATTAGAGAGAGATAGAAACTTCAACTGGGCATTCGTTGATTTTTTTTATATGGGCCCCGACCAGAGATCAAACATACTACTTTAGCATATTGGTACAATCCTCTAAGCAACTGGGCTACCTGTGTAGGCAAATTTTATTCTTTCACTTAGTTCTATGTATCTTGGCTTCTATCATGTCTTGATGTATTATTTCTTTACTAAAGACCCGGTGCATGAAATCTGTGTACTTGGGTGGTGGGGCTGCATTCAGCCCAGCCTGCACCCTCTGCAATCTGGGACCCCCTTGGGGCTTGTCCACCTGCCAGGCAGTCGGACATCCCTCTCACAATATGGGACTGCTGGCTCCCAAGCACTCACCTGCCTGCCTACCTGATTACCCCTAACTGCTTCTGCCTGCCAGTGTGACCACCTCCTAATCACTCCCCTGCCTCCTAATTGCTCCCAACTGCCCTCCCCTGCCAACCATCTTGTGGCTGTGGGTGCCGCCATCTTTGAAGGTGTGGCATTCACTTAGCATATTCCCTCCTTATTGGCCATGGAAACCATCATCTTTGAGGGCGGGACAGCAATTAGCATATTCCCGTCTTATTGGCTGTGGGTGCTGCTATCTTAAGGGTGTGACAGTCAATTAGCATATTCCCTCCTTATTGACTGTGTGAATTACCATCTTTGTGATGCTGTGAAGGCCAATTAGCATATTCCCTCTTTATTAGATATGATGATAGTAGTGGGTAATACTTCATTGTTTGTACTTCAGTGTATTTACCTATTCACTTGTTGACGGACCTCTTCATTGCTTCTAATAATTGAAAATTATGTATAAGCAGCCCCTTGTAGGGTTTTGTGTAGATAAAAGGCTCTACTCTTTGGTTTAAGAGTAAGGAGCCCAATTACTGAGTGTATATTCAGTTTTATAAACACCTCCAGAGCATCTCTCCAATGGGCTGTAGCACTTGGCATTTTCAGCAGCAGTGATTGGGAGTTCCACATCACAAAGGCATTTGGTGGGGTCAGTGTTCTGTATTCTGACCTGTTCCATGGTGGCTTAGTATTGCTTCGTTGTGCTCTTTGTTACTTCTCATTGTTATAATGTGCATTCCCTTAATGACATAAGACATGCAAGATCTTGTTACACTGATTTTCTATGAGTATATATTTTCTAGTGCTGTGCTGTGCGTTAAGGTGTTTGGTCCTTTTCAGGTTGTTTTGTCAATGTTGAATTTGAAGACTTCTTTGTCTATTTTGCATAATTGTCCTGTGTATGTTGACTTTTTTTTTTTTTTTTATTGATTTTTTACAGAGAGGAAGGGAGAGAGACAGAGAGCTAGAAACATCGATGAGAGAGAAACATCGATCAGCTGCCCCCTGCACATCTCCCACCGGGGATGTGCCCGCAACCCAGGCACATGCCCCCGACCGGAATCGAACCCGGGACCCCTCAGTCCGCAGGCCGACGCTCCATCCACCGAGCCAAACCGGTTTCGGCGTGTGTTGACTTTTTTATTAATACACACACACACACACACACACACACTAGAGGCCTGGAGTACAAAATGCATGCTGGGTAGGGTTCCCAGGCCTGGCCTCCTGGCCTCCACCTTCCCTCCGTCACAGCCCCGCCACCTCGGCTGTTCGCCCCCTGATGGTTAGTGCACATCATAGGTTGCGATCGAACTCCCACTCTCTAGGTCGAACTCCCGGACAATATATAGATTTTTTTATTGATTTCAGAGAAAAGATGAGAAGGACAGAGAGATAGAAACATCAATGATTGGCCGAAGCTGGTTTGGCTCAGTGGATAGAGCGTCAGCCTGCGGACTGAAGGGTCCCAGGTTTGATTCCGGTCAAGGGCATGTACCTGGGTTGTGGGCACATCCCCAGTAGAAAATGTGCAGGAGGCGGCTGATTAATGTTTCTAACTCTCTATCTCTCTCCCTTCCTCTCTGTAAAAAGTCAATAATATATATATATATGAAACATCAATGATCAGAGAGTATCATTGATTGGCTGCCATGTGCCCTGAGTAGGACTCAAACCATTACATCTTGGTTCATAGGTTGACACTGAACTGCTGAGCTGTGCCAGCTCGGCCAAGTTGACTTTTATAAATGTTTTCTTACAGCTAGAGCTGTATTACAATTTTTTGATAACACAAGCTTTAAAGTATGTTTTAAAATCAAGAAGCCTGAAGCCTTTAATTTCATACATTCTTTTAATGATTCACTTGGTTACATGGAGTCCTGTGACATTCACATTAATTTTGGAAAGAGCTTTTCTATTTCTACCAAAAGTGTCACTGGGACTTTAATAGGGATTGCTTTGAATGTTTAGGTAACTCTGGGTACGAATGACAGCTGATACTGTTAGCATTTCAGTCAGATCATGGAATGTGTTTTCCAATTTACTGATTCGGTGTTTAATTACAGCCAGCCATGTGTTCGTGTGTGTGTGTGTGTGTGTGTGTTTTCTCTTGTTACTTCTCACCTGATGTTACTTTTCCCATTGCATTTTAGAGAGAGTGGAAAGGAGGGAGGGGATTGAAAGAAAGAGAGAGAAATATATCGATCCGGCCCTAGCCAGCTTGGCTCAGTGGATAGAGCGTCAGCCTGTGGACTGAAGGGTCCCAGGTTCAATTCCTGCCAAGGGCACATGCCTAGGTTTCGGGCT